CATTCTCAAAACTGATAAGGATACATTCTCTCTTCACCTCTGGTTATTGATAAGGAAGAATGTTAGACACATAAGTTAGTCTCAGCTCAGACCTCTGAGAAACTTTGCTTTTAACCAGTCTCCAGTGTCATTAACCACTGAACTTCAACTTCTGAGCTCAGTGACCCAGACAGTTTTTCATCCATCTGGTGGTCCATTTGGATTGTAATGACCCAGTTTTAATACTTAACCGCTCTCTCCTTGTTCACAGATTTTAAGAAATTTATTGTAGAAGGCAGTTGGTCTCATTAGCCCTTTTTTTCTTTTAAAGCCTTGGTAAAGATTGGCTATCCCTATTCCCGTATTTTTTTTTTTTTTCCTCCTTCATGTGCCTAGAAGTGGCTTCCAGAAGGACTTGCTCTATTAATTTCTTAGCAACGAAAGTGAAGGTGACCTGCCTGTGGTTCCTCAGATCATCCTTCTTGCCCTTTTGAAAGCTGGGTGTGAGATTTGCCTTTCTCCAGTTATAGGGAACTTCCTCTAATCTCCATGACCTTTCAAAGGTGATAGAGAGTAGCCTTGAAAAAAACATCAAACTAGCTCTTTCAGGACCTCTGGATGCATCCTATCTTGTCCTGATTTTTTCTTTAGCATGCAAAACATAGAATGACAGTTCAAAATTCTCTCTCACTCATTCTTTTTTAAAAACAGTAAAACCATTTAAAGGAGAATGGTTAGAACTTTTTTGAGTAGCTAGGTGTTTAAAGGTCTTTATCATGAAACTTGAAACCTAGTATCAGAGTTTCTTGGTAATTGCTAGCGTGGAAACCTTAGTTAGGGTTCCCTGAGTGTCTCAGCATATGGTTCTCTAAGCTGGGGCATTTGTGGTTGTCCTTGGCTCCGCGTTCCCTTTCCCTCCCTTATGTAGGTACCAGTATTCACGTGATCAGGTAGCGAGGTAAAGGTCCTGATGACTTCCCTTCCTTTTCCCTTTACCTCCAACCCTTGTTTCATTTTCTTCTGATGAGCCCTCTGCACTAGCATACTTTACAATTGCCTTAGCACCATTTAATATTGCACAAGAAGTGATGGTGAAAAGAAACAGGAAGGTGAGACTGAGACAGCCCAGTCCTGAATTAGCTTGAATAGCTGTAGAACATCACACTTCCTTGAATTTGAAGAAATTGAGATATAATTTTTATACCTGCAGCATTTCATTTTGAAGTTCCTCAAAACTAGCTCTTAAGTGGTTTCAGCAGATAGAAAGGGCAGTATTATTCTGTTTCTAGATGATTTGCATGTTTCCATGCAATGTTGTCAATAAAAGTTTATTAGGAAGTAATTACAAGACAGGCTTTTTTTTTTTATGAATGCTTGCTCAACATTTGTCTTCTGAATTGTAGTTCTATCATTACACTGTCATATAGCTATCTTGCTTGAAAAGACAGTTCTAGTAAAATTCAAATGTTAAATGGAATTAATTTTTTACTCCACAGTTAATAGCAGAGCAGGTTTGAATTTCATTTTCTTCCTTAAATGTTGTTCCAGTAGATGGAAGTACATTCGTTTTAAAGTGGGTGTTGAGTAGGATCAATGATACAAGCTTGTCACTTACATTCTCCTTGCTTTAAAAATAAATTGTGGTTGAATCCTGGTTATGTAAGTTTATATTTTTGATTCAGGTTTGGAGGTGGCAGTTATGTGCCTGCTTTTAAGTGCTTTGAGGAAGACATAAATTAGCCTGTTTTCTTTACAGATAAAAAGACCGCACACTACTGATTTGTCTCCATCGATATGGAATTGAGTGATAATTAGCATAAGAACTTACTGAGTAGTGTATTTTCCTCAATAAGCATCTCTCCTAGATATTTTACTGAACGTATCACCAGGACTTGTGTACCAGATCTCAGTCAGAGCTGAACATTTCAGATGAGAGCACATGCATCTCCTGTTCTCCACCCCTCCTTTTGGAGGGGTTTGGCACTCGGATCTTTTGAGAATTCAGTTACGCTAGCTGTTTTCAGTTTCTGTATATGTCTGTTCTGCAACTCCAGGATAAGAATGTGGCTATGTGTAAGATACCTGAATGACCTAAAAGCAGTTTAGACGTAAGAAAACTTTGGTCTCCCTTACAGATTTTGTTTGTCCCTTTTGGACCTCAATACAGAGACTATTTAATATATTTTATTTTGAAGCAGTTTTTGGGTGACTTAAAATTTAGAAAGTGAAAGATAGCATTAGACTTCTTGTTCTGAATGAATTAACCTTTCCAATGTCCGTATTAAGATGGTGGAGACAAAATATGCTATCCTGTTTTCTAAGAAGTTGACAGAGGGAGCTTGCATGTATAGGAATGTAATTTCAGGGCTGCACCCACCACTTCTGATGATGGGAAATCTTTATGATATCTATTCTTAGAGATGCTAATAATACCAGATTTGACACTTCCTGGAGGTCAAGGGTTGGAGGGGACCTGCTGTGTGGTAAATGCCACTGCCTTGCTAATTCTGGTGCCATTTCAAATCTTTCCTAAATGGATTATGTTAAACTAACTCCTTTTTTTATAACATGTATTCTAATGAGAGGGCTGTTACAAGACCCTGTCTAATTTCCAGGCTAACTGAAATAAATAAGGTTTCTTTTAATATTAGCACTATCTTTTAGCTTAGTCTTCTCCCTCTCTGCCCCCTCTTTTCCTCCCACTTTTTAAAATTTAAGCTACTTAGGATCTTAATTGTAAAATTTTAAGATGCTTGTAAGCAAAACTGATTCCTTCTCCCTCTCTCCTAATAGCCTAGCAGCAGGCATTCAGTACTTTCTCCTTAGCTTTTCTGATAAACTTCCTTTCTGATATGTAACACCTACTGTTGCCAGGATCCTGAGGCTTTCAGATAGCAATAGTCATACAAAATGTGATTTGGCAAGAGATGCAATTTCTAGCTCCAAGATGCAATCTTGACATGCTGTCTACTCTTCAAAAGCTATGTCCTAGAGGCCTGTTCACTTCTTAAATTATGTTCTGTAGGCATGCATCTGCCAGATATACAACTGAGTAATCTTGCCTGGGATTGCAACATAAGAAATTGCACTTTTTGTCTTGATTATATATTGTTCTGTATTAAACATGTAAGCAACTCTATAGACAACAAAAATGAGTATAGCTTAATTATGAATATTCTGTGCCTCTTTATTTGCCTTTTAAAATTTATTATAGTATACTTGTTATTTTAATGTGATGATCTCTCTAAATGTGTTACTGATAATGTTCACTGAGCGTTTAAAACCTAGAAACAGCCTGAGCTGTTGAATTGACAGTAATAGGATTAAAGTAATAGGTAGAAACTTTCCCTTCTTTTACCGTAAAGCTAACAGAAAATACATGGTGACTGCTGATTCATATTGGCACATGTGATGGAGTGCCTCTAGTATTTTTCTACTTTGAATTTTTCTTCATGGTTCTTTCTTGTCATAGACCAGACTTTGAATTCTTCCATTTTTGTTTTGAGTATGATGGGATTTTGTCTCCAAATTGTCCCCAAGGTTAGTTGCAGGCTGGAATATTGGAAAAGCTTTAGGCATCTTTGTTATTGCATTGGTTTCAGCAGGGATAGAGTTAATTTTCTTCCTAGTAGCTGGTATAGTGCTGTGTTTTTGATTTAGGATGAGAGTAATGTTGATAACACATTGATGTTTTTAGTTGTTGCTAAACAGTCAAGGACTTTTCAGCTTCTCATACTGACCTGCCAAAGAGAAGGTAGGAGGTCCCCAAGAAGCTGGGAGGGGACACAGACAGAACAGATGACCCAAACTGGCCAAAGGGACATGCCATGTGATGTCATGCTCAGTATATAACTGAGAGGTGGGCTGGGAGGCAGCTTGGCTCAAACTAGCTGAGCATTGGCTTTGGTTGGTGAGCAATTGTGCTGTGTATCACTTGTTTTGTATATGCTACTATTATTATTATTATTTATTGTCTTCTCTCCTATTAAACTGTCTTTATCTCAACCCACAAGTTTTCCCTCTTTTTCCTCTTCAGTTCTCTCCCTTGTTCCACTGGGGGAGCAGGGAGGGAATGAACGAATGGCTGTGTGGTTGTTTTAGCTGCCTCCTGGTATATACTATGATGGTTATGTGTAAGGATTCTTAGTTATGTTGAAGGATTTGGTTGTTAGGAAGCATTGTGTTTATGATCTGTCTTGACAGTGACTGTGAAAGTGACCCTTTCTAATGTAAGCAGTGTGCTATGTCTTGTCACAGGAATGATTGGATGTAACATGAGTGATGAGTAAGTGAAAGAGCTGGGTGCCATCAGATGTCATATGTGAATGGGATGTAAAACTTGGTAGCTCTGATTTTTGTATGGACTACTTAAATGTTTAGGTGCAGAGCAGCCTTAGTTCTCTACGTCCTAATTTTTTTCCAGAGGCTTAAGTTGGAAAACAGTATTTTTGAAAGTAAATATGAGAACATGCTCTACATGAGTTTGTGGTTTTGTCATTTAATTAGTTCTTTGTTCACGCTGTCAAAACTAAACTAAATTCTGCTAAATGTTTTTGCTAAGCTTTTGTTTGATTTATAGTCTTCTCTCTTTTTCATTATGAAGGTGGAAGACTTAAGTTTGAAGGTTTTTTTTCTTTTTCTTTTCTTTTTTAAGGTATTTGTCGGTGAGCTTCCTCAAGATTTTCTTCGCATTACCCCAACCCAGCAGCAACAGCAAATCCAGCTGGATGCCCAGGCAGCTCAGCAGCTACAGTATGGAGGACCAATGGGTACAGTAGGCAGACTCAGCATTACTGTAGTACAGGTATACATTGCACCATCTTTGTACAATTAAGTAATTGTAATTAATACAATTAATCTGTTTTGATCGGTGGCCACAAGAAGATTGTGTTGGAATCTGAGTTAGTAAAGTACTTGTATGCAAGGAACGAGTAGTTTTTCAAGTTTTTTTACCTTCATGTTTGTGTCCAGTTTCATAGCTGCATGGTGCAGCAATTTCCTGTAAACCTTGCTATTATAGCACATAATCAAATAAACTTATGAGTTTTTTTTACAGTGAGCAGATTTCTCTGAAAACTTCTGTTAAGGCTTCCTGTAGAAACAGTTAATATTGGAATACATTAGTAATTTTGAGAATATTATAGGGAACTGTAGTTGCCTTCCATATTTTTCCATAAGTGACTGCTCTGTTCCATCCTCATTTCCTCCAGTGCATTTGCTGTTTTTCCTAGTGCTATCTGCTGCTTTTTTTATTAATCACAAGGGCATAGTCCTAGCTCCTTATTTTCTACTTCCTCTTTTCCCTTATTATCCTTTATCTCTTGGTGGTACTGTATTACTGCATTCATTATGCATAAGATTTCAGGTTTTAAAACTTGTCTGTCTTAACACAGTTCTTTTTATCTACATCAGCATACCAGATGTCCTTCATATTAACTTAACACACCTCATCTATTTACAAGTGCTGTTTCTAAGTCATTCTCTAAAAACATACCAAAGAATTTGCCTCAAATTTAGCACCAGGCCTGGAATAGTACCCACATGGTTACAGCTCCCATGGTGAGGTCCTTATTGGGGAGTAAACCTATATGGGGTCTCTCGGGGAAAAGAGGCACTGATCCTTCTTTTCTATGTCTCTCACTGGTCAGTTTGCTCCTTCACAGCCAATATCCTTCCTTCGAAAACTGGGGGTAATGCTTTTTCAAAGCTTATTACTTCTAAGGTCTAGATGTTTGAACTAGTTCATTGCATTCAGTTGCAGCCCTCTTTCTAGTTCCGATGAGTTTCCTGGCCTGTGTTCAGAGAGTGTAAGACTGGAAGCTTCTTCTGCAACTTTGAATGGCAGAAAAATGTTACCGCTTTTAGAACATGAAGGAGCTTTAGTATATTTTTTTTCCAGAGCTAGGAATAGATGATTCAGGTTAAGCCTCAGGCCTATAATGAAACAAAACATTTATCAAACATGCCATATGTCTTTCAAGTCTCTAGCAGTTTCTAGCAACTTGTATGCTACTCCATAGTTGTTCATCTTTGGCTGTTTGCTTGGACAGCTTAGAGTGCTTTTTGTCACAGGATGTTGAGCCAATCAGTATTGATGGTAGAAGTTCCTGGAGCAGATAAGGGGGCAGACAGTACAGTATTCAAGAAAGCGTTGTGCATCTCGCTTTGAGTGGCTATGTACAGAAGCATCCAGGTTCCTGTTTGGATGGGTGAACTGATGGAATGGATACTGGTCCTTTATTAGGTTCAATCCTTGTTTATTTTTAGGTGCTTGTGCAGACAAGAAAAATATATTTATCTTGCTTGAAGAATAAAACCTAATGGCTGTTCTTGAATGCCATGTCTCTAAGTAACCACTTGTTATAAAATCACAGGATAGTTGAGGTTAGAGGGGACCTCTGGAGTTTTAGTCCAAACCTCATCTCACAGGTTTGTCCCTTAAAGATTAGAGAGGATGTTATATACAAGGAAAGGCTGATAGAGCTGGGGGAACGGTCTTCAGTGGAATCTTATCAATAGTGATCTCTGCCATCAGGTATTTGTGAAGAAGACAACTAGGCTCTTTTCAGTGCTACCTAGAGGAAAGACAGGAGGCTTAATGAGCACAAATTGAAATACAGCAAACTATTTAAATGTATGAAAACCTTTTTTTACTATGAGAGTTGACAAACTTCAGGTTGCCCAAAGGGGTTGTGGAGCTTCCATCCATGGAGACACTCAGAACCAGCCTGAGCATTTGACGCTGCTTTGAGTGGGGAGCTTGGATTACGCAATCTCTAGAGGTCCCATCCAACCTCAGCCATCCTATGGTACTGTGAAACCCTTAATTGTGTGTAGTGGCCCTTTGCTGGACTCGTATGACCATGTCTTCTATTGGGTAGTCCAGAACTAAAGAGAAAAGTATTCTGGATATGGCCCCCCCAGTGCTGAGTAGAAGGGATCCTCTTCCTTGACCAGCCCTGGCTGCTGTCTGTCATCTTTGCCGTAAGGGTGCGTTGCTGGCTTATCTCCAACTTCGTGTCCACCAAGGCCCCCAGGGGCCCACGGCCTATAGTTTTGCATGTGGTTATTCCTCAGGGGCAGAACGTTGCATTTTCATGTGTTGAATTTTGAGATTTCTGTCTGTGTACTTCTCTAGCCTGTCAAGGTCCCTCTGAATGGCAGTACAACCTTGTGGTGTCCCAAGAGATAATGTTCTGTACCTGTCTGGGAGTTTATGCAAGAATGCCGTGGGGAATCTTGGCTGCCGATTGAGGCATGTGACGTTTTGGATAGGAGACTTACCACAGCATATTTAACCTGTGGAACATGAAAAGCTTGTTGAAGTCTTCTGTATTTAAATATGTGTTGATGAAGTATATAGAGCAGCATGCCTTAATTCTGTTACTAACAAACTGGTGGAAGATCAGAAACTGGTTTTGGGAAGGTATTTTACTACTGTTTGTTGTTCTTGCAGATATATAGGAATGGTGGTGAGTTTGTCTAAGCACCATTGATTGTGTTTTCTTAAATTACTAGTCAGACAATTTACATGCTCTTTTTTCTTTTGGTGAAGTTTTATGATAAACTACTTTGTCTCAGGACTTCAGAGTCTAGAGAGTGCCTAATTTAGGTGCCAGCTTTCCTGCTTTAATTGTTAAGCCCACATTTACAAGAAACCGTTTGAGACCTTTCTCACCAGCTCTAATATATGAATTACTGAACCAGCATGTGCCTTGGAGAAAAGGGCTTTCCAGGCCAGAGCTGCAGCCATTGTGACTAAATCTTATGCAAGTCTCAACTGTTCCAGTTCTTTAAATGCCCTGTAGATGGGAGGCATCCTAGGCACCATATTTTGTCACTTGTCTTACTATTAAAAGAACTATAGGCTGCTTAGTACACGTCAGAGAAACAGCATGTCCAAAAAGTCTGATTTCTACTTTGGCATAGCTATGCAAAAGTACTCAGTGTTGTCTTCGGGACTGTCATCAACTTGTTTTGTTCTATTCCTCAGCAAAAAGTATGTTGGATATCTTCTGATTCTATAGACCGTCTATTTTTATAATAATGTAGAACTTAAGATGACCACTGAATTAAATAATATCAAATGCACACACTAAATTAAGTAAGTTTTTTTTAATCACTTTGAAAAGTATGATCTACTAGTTTTTACCTCAATTGAACTGCTTTTGCAGCTTGTGTTTTTATATTGTGTCATATTTTTGAAGCTACTGGATTTCTGTATTTCATCATTTAAAAGTGCTTTGGTGAAAAAGGATGGGCTACCTATCACATTAAGTTTATGATTGCGTATTGGAGAGCAGATACCAAGGCAAAAATTGAACTGATTACTATTTTCTTGTAATCATGTCTCTTTGGGTTTGGTATGAAGTAAATTTAGTGGTAATAAAGATGTTTTTCTACAACAGACAGGTTAAAAAGAGATTCCAAGATCTCCCAGATATTTAATGGTGTCATGGGCTTATGTTTTCATCTGCTGTTTTTCTTGACTGGTTTTTTTTTTTCCCCTTCCTATGTGCCTTATAATTGAATCTAGTCCTTTGTTCAGTATTTGATTCTCTTTGTGAACTAATAGTAATTCACTTCTCAAGCTAATGTAAATATTATACACTTACAGACTTTCTTTTCTTTCCAGGCAAAATTGGCAAAGAACTATGGAATGACCCGCATGGATCCATATTGTCGAATACGTCTGGGATATGCTGTGTATGAAACTCCAACAGCACATAATGGAGCCAAGAACCCCCGCTGGAACAAAGTTATTCAGTGCACTGTTCCTCCGGGTGTGGACTCTTTTTATCTAGAGATATTTGATGAGGTCAGAACTGCTATATGATTCCCCCCACCTTCTGTTTGAACTGAGGTTTGGGTAAAATCTTGCAAAAAAAGGATTGACTTACCAAAGGCTGTTTCTTAGCTGCACAATCTGGGAGATGATGAAACTTTTCAGAATCCCAAGAGCAGCAGTGCATAAGGCTTCACTCTCCCAAGAATGTCAGAGCTGTTACTTTTCCTTTGTTAGCTGATAAGGGGCATTAGCAAGGAAGAGAAGCAAAAATGTCTGAGTGGTGTTCAAGCTCCTCTTTGCTATCAGAATGCCCTGCAGCCTTATGTTCTGTACTGTCCCTGTTTGTATAATACTGTTTTACTCAGAAATTCTTCTGAGTGTTATTCTAATCCAGGAGGAGCTTGGAAGCTTTCCCAAGCTAAGAAACGCTGAGAATAAAACAGTCAGATATAGACTGTGTGTAGTCACTAGGATTTATTAGCAGAAACTAAGAGGCTACAAGTGAGGTTAAAGTCCCTTGTTTGCCCCCCCCCCCGCCTTTTTTTTTCTTTTCTTTCTGCCTCTCTTACTGTGTGTGGTAAAACTTGATGCTGCAGCAGCTGTGTGGTCGTCATATAAGTGAGGCTTTTGGATGCTATTTTGTGGGCTTAGTTGATTGGTTGAAGTGTCTGTTTCTAGAAGTGTTCTGCTTCAGGTTTTTGATTTCTTCTTATTAAATATCAGCAGTCAGTCTATATTTTCACTTACAGCATCATTCATCCTTGTTGGAAAGGAGATGGCTAAAATATTTACCAACAATTTAGTAGTTTCAAAAGGAATAACTTAAAAATAAAACTGGCAAAATGAAATTGTATAAAACTGAAGGAAGTGTTAGTCAAGAATAATTTTAAGTTTGGGGTTTTTTGGTTTTAGCAGACAATTAACTTAATAATATATTTTTAAATTATATTCCAGCGGGCCTTTTCAATGGATGACCGCATTGCTTGGACACACATTACAATTCCTGAGTCTCTGAAACAAGGAAATGTGGAGGATGAATGGTATAGCCTGAGTGGAAGGCAGGGTGATGACAAGGAAGGAATGATTAATCTGGTTATGTCGTACACGGTAAGCCAAGTTTGGGGTGGGAAAAGGAAGGGAGAGAAGCTTCTTGGGTAGTGGGAGGGAGATGTTTTAGATTAAAGTAGAAGTATTTCCATTGCACCTTACTGGGAGTTTGTATGTGTCAGTATTTAAAATAATTATACTTAACTTCGGGAATAGCAGTCAAAAATGTTAGGTAAGGCAGTAAATACTTTTTGGTGAGGTGGTAAATGTATATTTATCTGGTTTTGCAATTACAAAAATTCAACTTATTCTTGTGCTAATAAAAGTATAAAAAAGAAATCCTCAGTCAAATGGTCCATTGTTATTTCTAGTTTAAAAATTTAAAAAAGCTTAGTGGAATCTTACAATTATTTTTTTCCCCTAAATCTTCAGAATTTCATGTCAATTTAAAAGCAAAAATAATGGAAACTCTGTCTTAGGTCTTGCTTGGATAGTTTGAATGCTCTTTGTGATGACTTTGTTTTTTTACTTCCATTCTTGTTCATTTGGTGCTCCTGGTCATGAACTGCTGACCTACACTGGTCCGTTTAGCAGCTCATGGAATATTTATTCATCTGTCACCTTTGTCTTAAGTAGCTGTTGGATAGCAATATGCAGTCCTGAATGCTTCCTATTGCGCATGTACATCATCAAAAGTTTTTGTTGAGTGCCCAACTGGGAAAAGATGTTCCCTGCTGTTTGAAGTTCACATTCTGATCCACATCTGAACCCCTAGGAGAAATGAGTCTATAATTAACCTTTAAAACTGTCTCCCCATGAATGTACTGTACATAGAATCTGACCTTTTAATATTTTTCTAGGATCCACAGGAATTGCGGTAGTAAAAGGGAATGAAGTTAAATCGCTATTTTGTTTAAAGTGCTGGTTTACCTCAAAAATAATTGATTTGAACTAAAATTTGCTTCTAGGAGCACTATATTGCTTTTAATAAAATTCAAGTTTGCTCTAAGATTTAATTTACGATGAATATCTTGCATATTTATTTCAGAATACTAAGGCATGAAAGCTGATTCAATCCATATTTTAAAATAATTTGCTTCAGTGACAAAATTAATCAAACTGTTTCATAAGGCTAGTTGACATGACGTGTTTATATTGATTTTCAGGCATATTAATTGCCTTTTAAAAGGATGGTAGTTCAGTTAATTTGCCAGAGGTTTTGTTTAATATAGATTAGCACTTACATAGTCATATCGAACATGGATTTGCAATGTGAAAATTTATTTGCAAATACTGTTTTGATTGTTACTGGTTTAGGGTTTTTTTTTCTATTTCTTGAGTAGTTCTAATCTGTTCTAACCCCTGCTTTTTGTGTCAAGTCTTTGCCAGCTGCCATGATGATGCAGCCCCAGCCAGTGGTCCTGATGCCCACTGTATATCAGCAAGGAGTTGGATATGTGCCTATAGCAGGTATGTTTTCTGTCCTTGAAGACTCTTAAAACTTTCACATGAAGGGTTTTACAGAAATAATTACCAAGTTTCTGCTGGTTTTTGGATGGAAGCTGTAAATGACTTTGTCCTTAACTACTTTTCCCATGATAGATTTTTGGGAGGAGAAGAGTGAGCGAATTAAGTGTAGGTCTGCTTTCAGACCCCCTGTGTGGGTTTGATTAAATGGATTAAAATGACTATCAAGTTGGAACAAGTATCTTGAAGGCTTCTCTCTTTGAATATTTATTTTAGACTTACACTTAGTTATTCAGTAACCTGACGTATCTAGTAGACTGCAGTCTAATGTGTGCTTATTTAAATGGTGGCAATCCGTGTGTGAAACTGTTCAGACTTGAGAAAGTGCACCAAATGACTTGTGCTGTCAGAACTGCAACTTAAGTAGCTTGTAAAGAGGTTGACTCTTCTGTGGTCTTTGAAGATGCTTTGTTGGAAACTTGCTATGCAGCACGTGAACTGTAGCACAGTGAATGAAAAATGTGAGGGAGCTCTGAGACAGTTACATAAATACATCAAGAAGAGCTAAAGCATGTAGCTTCAGTTCTCTTGGTCTGTGTAACGCAAGTTTTGGACTGGTATAGAAAGATGTGTTAACTTAGGTATTACAATTTTTCTGTCAAAGGTGAAAAAATTAAAGTATGTAAATGAGCTTGAATTTGCCCTACTTAGATAACTGATAAGTAAAGTTCAGTTGGGTTTTTTTGTGTGTTTCACTTACAATGAACTGGAGCTTTTAAGAGCTGTATGAACACATTCAGTAATATGTGTACTTTCTAGGGAAAGTAAGGTATAAATTTACATATTTTGAATTTCTTTGCATATAAGTGTATGAATGAGTGATAGAGTGCGTGAGACATAATTGTAGTACTAAGGACTGACAAAACAGATTTTTTTTTTTTTTTAAACTTAATTCCTGATTGAATTTAAAATTTCATTCTCTGTAAAAACAAACCTCCTCAACAGAAGACAGGATATGTAACTTAAAGAATCATACCTCCTGTTTCATTTTTATAGAGTTCAGTTAGAGCAAAACATGGAAAAGTTTGGTTACATACTTGATTCCCAGACAAAAACATGCCATTTGCTTAATTTAAAGTGGTTTTATCTCTATAGCTTAATTCTCAGGATTTAAGTCTTGCTTGCTTTGCCAATGAACTAGTTTCAACTTGTGTGTACATCCTGAAGTGTGATTCCATTGTGGTAAGCCAGACTTCTGTGTAGCTTTTCTGTATTTGAATTACATGCCATATCTTTTTTGCTTGTAGGTTCATCACATCCCTATCTACTGAAGCAGTTAGTGAACCTCATGCATAGTTATCTTGTGTATGGTTAAAAGAAAAAACAATAGCTGGGGTAGTACATAGCAATGTAGTAGGAGGTGCTATAGAATTTCTCGAACAGATCAAAATGAGAATATTCATATTGCAAAATTACTGCGCTAGCCAGAGTACAAATGTAGAAATGAGAAGAGATTAGTTTCAGATATAGCTGAAACTAGATATAGAACTGAACAGGTAAAACCGATACTAGACCTTCAAAGTTGAAAAACAAGTACAGTGGTGTTTATCTTTTGTGTTCTGTAAATTTTGTATTTATCTTGAGAATATTTTTCAGTAGTACTTATTAAATCTACTTGGGCAAGTGAAGAAATAACTAATATTTAACAGATGATAGTAATGCCTTCTGTTTTAGCATATAAGAATTTGCCTTTATGTAACAATTTTATTGATCTGTATGTTGGAGCATTGCCCTTCTGCAAAGATCCAGTGTGTTTGTTTTAATTATTGCTATGATAATGTTCTGTATTAAAAATTCTTCCTGATTCTATGACTTGTATTTTTAAAGCATTGCAAAGTCCCACCTCTCAATTCAAACTTTTGTTCTGGGAACGCTTGACTGTATTTTCTTGACTTTATAAATGTCAAATTTCTTACAAGACACCTTTAACTTATTTTTTTATACTTTTGATATTTTTTTAACATTACTGTGCTTTGTGTTTGCTGTTCTAGAATTTCTGTGGGCACCATCAAAATTTCTCAAAGCACTGTGAGTTTTACAGCTTTTGCCTATTCACTAATCAATGACCCACTCACAATAATTAGATGGATGATTAGGTTTTGACTTTGAAGCTGACTTGACTTCAGAATACTTTTATTGTTTCATACATTTAATTGTATGGCTTAATAAAAGTAATTTCAAATTATAAAAGGAAGCAATAGTGCATCTTGGAAGATGTGGAGTATTGTCAGAATGTTTCCTATATATTGAACTAGATGCACCTCCTGGATTCTGTAAACTCTTTCAGAAAGGTGCATGCAAACTACTGTTCTTCCCTGCCTAGCTGAATTGATTGTATCTTCTGGGGAAACTCTGTTGGTACACTTTCTTTGGAATACAGTACAGGGTTTCCTCTCTTCTTGAGGCTGCTTCACAAAGGGCAATGATAGGACATCAGTATGCTCCACAGGAATATGTCTGCCTTCTTCCTGTCTTCTTAGATCAATTTTTTTACTTAACCAGTTAAATGAGTGTAGTCAACAAGCAAATTTTGTTTCCTTCAGAAGGGTGGAAGAACAGCATTGAATAGTTTATTACATCTGAAATAGAAGAGATTCTGCTGCTGAGTAAAACTGTTAGAATCTAAGTCTTAACTATGATGGAAATATAGTGGGTGAACTAAAATGCTTATCCATACAGTTTAACAGTTATTAACTGTCCAAAATAGTTGTGCTTTAAAGAGAGATTCTGTTAAGTCAAATTTAGCTATGTCACAAAGGCCATGCTGTTTTTTCTGTAACAGAAAATTTCTGTTCCAAACTTCGTATATGTAACTAACCTTCTAATTAAGGTCGAAGCAACTAATTCCTCTCACACTTACTCTGTTGTAGAAGCTGAGGTAAATAGCAGTAGCAAGCAGTTAGTCACTGTGGTAGGCGAACGAAGCTTGAAATCCTAACACAAGTAATGCCCTTTTCACCACATTTGATGGTGATGTTACAGAGCTGTGATGAGAGCAGAAGCAGCCTTAGAATATTCTTGCACCATGTTAATTAATTTCAGAGGTTTTTAAAACTTCTGACAATAGTGCTAGTTGCTACAAACTGTAGTTGCCATAGATGATATATCTATGGATTGAGTTTGGGAAAATTTGAACTTGTCAATCCTATTGCTCTTCTAAAAGTTGAGTTTATCTACCATATCTCTCTTCCTGTTTCTTTTTCTAAAGATTATTTAATTTAGGCTGTAGAATATTGTGCTATACTAGTTGCTTACAGTCCAAGCTGATCGTGTGTCAAAGCCAATAAGCTAAAGAAGTTAGTTCTGTAAGCAAGCTATATTTCTTATCAGCTAACTGTTCGTGGGATAAATAGGAAATCTTTGTACTTATAAACACCTGTGTAAAAACTAGGTTAAAACCCCATGTGTTTGAGCCCTGTCAGAATCCAGAATATCATTTTTCATTGAGGCAAAGTTGTGTGTATATGTACATTACTCCTTTAGGTGTCTGTGTTGTGTTTCATGGGTTAGCTTCTGATGTTATTGGTATTTGTTCAGAAAACCATGTATGTATGTTGTCCTTTGTGGGCTATAAAATATAATCCTTGCTGCAAACACCTAGTGACTTATTTTGAAAATATTTCCTCTAACTGTTACTTCTGTAAAAACAGCACATTTAGGAAACTTGTTCAGAGTGCTGAAGCAAATTACTTGGGAGACCGAATCCTTATCAGCGTTTGGTTTTTTATATAGGCAGTTAAGGTTTTGCCCAATTGCCTCAGTTTATCCAACTTTCACCTGTGGAAGCTAAATGATCTGTTTCCTTTTAAAAATAGATTAATATTTCTTTCCCATGTCTTATTCCTTTCCCCTTGCCCCTTCATTTTCACCTGTCTTTAGGGCTTGAGTACTTTGCTCTGGGTAAGTTTCCAAGCTCTTTTTTCACTCCCATCCTCATTGACTCAAGAGTCTTTGCATGAACTCATGTAAACAGCTTTATTTGTTACAGCAGACTGTATCACAAGGTATTGCCGCTTGGATGTCACAATAGAACAATTTAATGCATCTCCTGGAAATTGTTGAACCCCCTCTAACCTCTTGGAAAGTCTTTAAAGGCATTTGCTCAGCTTCAAGCTATAGTGATTGAAGTAATTGGTGATAATGGTGTTGATGGATAAAACGTGATGTTAATATTCTTCTGAAACTGTTGTGTGTCAGTGAGCTATTCTATGTGATAGTACTGGTTTCCTAGAAGAGAAACTTTAATCTTGGAGTTGTTCTGCTATTGCAGGGTTTGGGGAAAAGCAGGTAATGTCATGACTTTTTGTACACTTGAAAGCGAAGAACTCAGTCCTGCAAAGACAACAGCCTGCCAATTGCCTTCTGTGAAGATGGTAAGATGACATAGAAATGCCATCTTCAAATAACCCTTTTTTTCATCAGTGTGTATCTTTCATGCATATCTGCTTTAGATCCATGTCAAGTTAAGCATCTGACTAGAACTCTAAAGGCAAATTATGTTACAGGAAATAAAATTTCCTTCAATTTAGACTTACTTTACTATGACACCTTTGATTTTTGAACTGTGCAAAGATATTGTGACTTCCTTAATTTTGATAAAAGTATTGGTCTTCAATCAAGGATGTTCAGAAAATTCTAGAACTGCTCCTTGTGAGAAAACGTCACTCCTTGATGCTCTCAGTTTCAGAAAGATGCTGTAAATAAAACTGATGTGGTTGTCACAATGCATTTGGTTTATTCAGAGCAGTGGAATTGTAGAATTTTTCTGTGTGTCCATACCCCCAACTTTTCTAGTAGTTTGCAAAGAAGCAACATCTAAAAAAAAAAAGAATGAAATGATGGCATGCATATTTTAGCACTGATTTTTCTTCTGAAGCAAATATTAAGACCCATTTGTGGTTTTTTTTGGTTTTTTTTTTTTTTTTTAAAAATTGATACTGATTTCTTCCTTTAAATGAAAGCATTTGTGCTGAGAAGGTTCCGAAGTTTACTCTGAAAGGGTCTGTGCATGGGACAATAATAATGAGTTAAGAAATTAAACATAAGGGCACTTGACTGAACAAGAAAATAAAAAGTGTGTGATGCCTTGTGTGCAGTTAAAAAAGTTTACCCTGTTAATTCTGCTTTGACGCTTCCATTGCTGCTTGTAACAATCGACTTGTTATTGTACATACTCGTTTCATGTATTGGAATGTCACTGCTTATGCCAGCATGTTTGCCATTGCCATTTCACTGAACTGGAAAACAGTGCTCCATTCTTCTGATTTATAACACCTAATATCTGAGAGCAACACAGGAGTGTGCAGTTCCATTGATAGTGGATTCTTAAGTGGTTTAGTTTCAGTTTTCACCTGTTAGTGAAATGAGTTGCTTGACATGTAAAGCAGCTTTTTGCTGAACATTGATAATTTTGAAGTTTATTATAACTCTCTCTAATGACTGCATATATATATATATGTATATTTGCAAAGTTTTAGTGCATAGTTCTTTATGCTTAAGTCTTCCTTACTCTTTGTAAATCAGAAATTATGAATGCTTTTAGCCTGAGTGCAGAGCAAAGCAAAAAAACAAGGAACTATTTAAATTGGTATTCGTATAGCTTGAATGTTGAGTTTTGTGAAAAGCAAGCATTTATTATGGAGGTATTTATTAAAAATCACTGTGATGCTAACTTCCATTTGTATACAGTGTAGTTGTAGACAGCATAAGCTAATTCTAGAACTGTAAGAGCTGAGAAAATGGATTTTGAAAATTACTAGTGAAAAACAATACTATAAAGAAATTTCTTGTCTCCAAAATTGAATATATAGATTGAAAATGCTTTTTGAATACTGCCTGTACAGATGTCTGGCTTCATAATTATCGTGTTTTTATGAAAACAGTAAGAAAAACTGTAGGCTAGTCTTTATTTATTTATTTAGACACTGACAAGGCACTGAAACTTTTTTGGTAAGCTCTAGAATGCTGTGGTACTTGAAGTGAGCCTTGTGTTTGATTTGGATTAATGTTTTAAACTGACATCCTGTATGGACAGTTCCTACACAACTTAAACTGATAGTTGGATAATCTTAGAATGTTGATGACATACTTCTAACACAAGCTTCCTAATATTTTTCAGTAAAACATAATTTCTATTGCTCTTTTCTTTCAAGTACTTTGCAACTTTTATTTTTTGAGGCCATACATCTTTGTTCACCTCTTGTAAATGCCTAGAATGTTTGTAGGAAGCATGAGGAATGAGTTGAGGCTTGTTGAAGCTATAGAAGAGGCAGTCTGAAATGCTGCTGGATATGATTATTGGGTAAAGTGTATTTGTAGTGTTGGTGAGGACTTCACAGTGGTCTGCCTCTAGGGTGCACATATGGTCTGATTTGTCATATATTCAAACACATAGTGTCAGACAGGATGCCAGGGACTATGGTCCAAATGGCATAAGAAGCTCTAGAGCTAAAATTTAAGTCATTGAGGAAGAGGTGATATCCGTGGTAGTGGTGTGATGCAGATGGCTGTGCAGAGACATGGTTCCAGTGTGTAGGTAATAAATTTATGGTGAGAGGGACATTTCTTTAGTTGCCAGCATGAACCATTTCAAATAGATGCAACCTGTACATTAGACTTAAAGCATCTAGGTTCCTTTCTCCTGCTAATAAAACTTCAGATGATTACAAGGGGAATTGTAAAATCAAAATTGGAGAACGTTGATCAGTATGGAAGTGCTTACAATTCAGTAATGTATACCTTCCGATAGGACAGAAGTCCAACTTGAGGAAAGAAATAGCGAAGAGTACATTAGATAAAATCACAGTTGTAATGCACACAGTCAAACTATATTCAGTTACGGTACCTTGTCAGCCACAGTTGATGTAAGTTAAGATGGATTTAGCTGATCCAACCTTGAATATGAATTTTAATATAGCATTTTTAATGCTGATAAAAAAAGATAATCACAGAGATGCTAAAATATTTGTGCAAGTTAGCGAGCATAGACGTTTCTGATTTAATAGTTACAGGTTAAAGAAAATTTTGAAGAGACAAGGTAAGTATTGAAATTGCTCCTTGCTATTTTTTTTAGATGTTAAGTCTGAATAGAAGTAGCATGATACAGTTGCAATATATTTGATCACTTATGTACTTTAGTTATTATGCTAAGAGAGATGAGGCTGCAAAGAGGCACACTTGAAAACTATGTTGGTTGTAGATCTTTATATTGTTATACTTTTGAGCAGTTAGAATTCAGTAGGGGACAAGCAGCTTTTGATCTACTCCTGAGTAATACATGAAACCTTGTTCAAAAAGTTTCTTATTTTGAAGGTGCATAATAGTGGTGATGCAAATAGTTCATCCTTTGTTTAACTTAAGGTAAAAAAAAAGCGGTTAGCTGCTCAAAGTAAATGCATGCCCAAAAAAACCCCACAAAAACCACCACCAAAAACAACCTCCCAAAGAAACTCCTACTCTTGGAGAATCCTAAAAAATTCTCTGCTGTAGAGTAGGTTTCTGCCAAAAAATAATTGGTAATAAGGTTGGGTAACAAATAAAATGTGTAAGGAGTTGAGAAATATTTATTTTTAAAAAGCAGAGAACCTAGAATCATTTAGGAGATTAACTTACTGTAATGATATAAGTATGTAAGGGAGTACAAAAAAACCCAGTTGGAACATGAAACCATAACAGGGGGAAGAAGAAAGTGTTTGATTTTGTCCTTAGGAAGGAATGCTTTTTTTAATGGAGAAGGAGCCTCGGATTATAATTTTAGAGTTTAACAGTAGTTGTTAAGATGATTGGTAAGAAAATGCAGGTAAGATAACATTTATTCCCAGTTTTGTATTTTGGATTTTTTTTACCAAATGCAGTTTGTAACCTATTGCTCAATTAGCTCTGCTTTCAGAGGACTGGAGGATAGCAAACTGATTTTTTTTAAATCTTTTTTTTTTTAAAAACAGTTCTAAAGTAACTTTTCCCTATTGCATAAACTGGTTAAAACCTATGGAGATTAGAATGAGCTGATTTAAAACAACTAACTAGGTAAACTTTAGGAGGAGGTGACATGGTTATGTAGTGAAAGCTTATATTTTAGAAATTCTAGGTGTATAAGTATGTGGGTAGGAATGATGTGGTCTGTGTGTATCACCTTGCCAGCTGCATTTTGAAAATGTTATTTGCTAACTACTCTTCCTATCATATGATATTCTGATACAATAAAAGTCCTCTTGTGATTAAATAGCTATTTTGAAAAGCTGATGAACAGATAGAAGTGGGAATGGTGGGAAGCCTTTAGTGGGGTGCATTGTATTTTTAAAAAACTAATGAAGGGAAGGGGACTAATAGACAATTTGTCAAAACAAAACCTCCTAGCAATTTTTTAAGTGTCTCTGCTACAGGTTGCAGAAGGATCCCATTATAGTAAATGGGAAATAAAATCGCATATTAAGGCTGGTGTTAAAGTATTATCTGTAAAGAAGAATCTTAACTAATACGTATTTGGTCTCTACTACGCATAGAGATACTGGAATTACTGTAGACAGTTCTATGAAGCTACCAGGTGAATAGTGTTTGAAACAGTGGATAAAATGCTTGAAAGCAAATAGGGAACAAATACAAAAACTTTATCATGCTGCTGTATGAAGCGGTGCCATGTTTGCATCTAGATGCGGGTAGTTCTCCTCAGCCTACCTTAGAAACAGTACATCAGAACTGGAAAAGTAACACACAAAGGTGTGGGACCAAGATAATCAGGGGTCTGATGCTACTTAAAAAGTTAAATATGCCATTTTCAGAAGTGATAACAAAAGGCTCTAGATGTATACTATACCTGGTTTCAGTTTTATAAAAACAAATGGTAGCTCTTTCAGCAATGGATCTATGTTTAATTAATGGTAAAAGTTGTTAAGGGACAAGGATGACAAGGGACTTTTGACTAGTAATTTCTCTTAGCAGGAATTAGAAAACTAATTTTCTAAAACTGTCTTTATAAACTGACAGTGCTTTAATTTTACACAGACCTACAAGAAGTTCATGCAAAATGTCAGATTAATTTTGTTCTCTGACAGAGGAACAGGGAAAAGCAGTCTATACTCCTATAGGCAAAAGGGGAATTGCTCTTTTGCCACTTTGTGGCTTTGCAGGCTGAACTGGATGGAACTTTAACCAGGGAAAAATATCTGCGTAAAATCTGCTTATGAGTATGGTCTAGTCTCCTAGTGGATCTAAGTACTTTGCTTTCCTTTGAATGCAATGGAGATTGCATTCAATGAATTTCTAAATACCAGCTATGTATATTGCTGATGTAAAACCATCTTTTTCATCACAACATAAATACAGTAGGAACTAAAATATAATGGGAGTGGGGGGAAAAAACCCCACACCTCTCTGTGGTGCACTTAATGTTGACTGGTGATTCATGTGTAAACCTAGTTAATGCAAGTTGTACCTAAATTTGAGCTGTACCTGTTGCCATACTGTAGTTTACTGCTTCTGATACATAACTTGGGCAGAGAACCTGTTCCAGACAAATGTATTCTAATTGCAGAGATTATACCTAGGCTGTTGCAATCTTTTGTTTTTTCTGGACTATGTGTTAAAGTAAAATAAAACGCAGAAGTTGGTGGGTTGGGGTGATTCATGAGCTGCTTTCTTCAAAATTTTTTTTTAATTTTTTTTTCCCCACGTATGTATACTTTGATTTTTTTTTTTTTTTTTTTCCTTCTTCTGTTTTTTGCCTGCAGGGATGCCTGCTGTCTGTAATCCAGGCATGGTACCTGTGGCAATACCACCTCCTGCAGTCAACCCTCAGCACCTGTGTAATGAAGAGGACCTGAAATCTATCCAGGACATGTTTCCCAACATGGACAGGGAAGTAATCCGCTCAGTGCTAGAAGCTCAGAGGGGGAACAAAGATGCAGCTATCAACTCCTTGCTTCAGATGGCTGAAGAATCATAGATTCCCGCTTCCTGCTTAGTCCCCATCCTCGATGCCACTTATTTTTACTTGCCAAGCCAGGGATTTAGCTAGAGGAAGAATTTCCCAGCAGCTTTCTGTTAGCACATCCTGTGTGAAAGATTATACCCCTTTTCTCCTTGGACATTTGAATCTTTTTCACTTTCTTTCTCAATCTGTACATACTCAATTTAGCTTATGTCCTACAATATAGCATTGCAGCAACTTTATTATCAGCTGGGCCCTGTGTGGCTATATTCTGATGGGGTGGGGAGTAATGCTTCTTATTTTCCTTCCTCTCTCCCTTTTCATAAACTTGTTCTTACTAAGTAACTCTATGCAGTAGAATATTTACTACTGTTTGTTAGATTGAAAAAGAAATTTCCATGGAGGGCTTACTCTTTAAACATAACTGATTTGTTAAAGTATTTAGGTTTCATCAAGCAGCCTATTTCTGCCAGAAATTAAAAGAAAACCCTTTCCTTGTCCTGTGGTGTTTAGTTATTGCTGTGATATATTCAACTGTTTCTGATTGAAGATTTTTAATTTAATAAGATAAATTTCTTAGGTTGCACTGTTGGTATTTGTAATCTTCTATTCAATCTAGTCATTGGGCATCAAAGCAATATATTATCTGGTGTGCATTTAGGGCTTTATCCTCTCATATAGTATAGTTGTATATCTGTAAAATCTTAACAGGTAACTTTTAACTCGTACAGTATGTATTGCTGTAGCAGAGAAAAGGACTGAACCCTAATGTACTCTCACAGTTAATTACACTCTACTATTTCTGCATTCCCATGGCTATTTCAAAGGATAAGTGCAGAGGGAAAGATTTTTTTTACCTGGAGAATTACAGAAGCCATAAACAATTATTTAAAGTGTTGTCTTACATTAAAAAGCAAAAATCTATGATTTTGTTACAAGGCTTCATTCCTTACACCTATATTTCAGCAAAATTATTGTTTTATTTTAGTGAAAAAACTATTGTATTTTTTCCTGTAATCTGAAATAAGCAGTGCAAAAAGTAGCTTCAGAATCTTTGAATGGCATTATCTGATGCTCAGTGACTTGTTAGACTACGGTTGCTGGAGTCAATTTATTATTTGATGCAGATGGAAATAAATTCTTTGTGAGAGAAAATGTAACATATCGGAGTTATAGTCTGATCCTCAGAGGAGGTTGGGGGTTGCTTGTATTTATTGTTAGTGTTATTTTTTTCAGATAACAGTTCATTTTGAAGCTGCAGAATCTTACAGTATGCATGTTACACTTGTTGGATAAATTTCTGCAGTGTCTGTTTTTGTAAATGGTAAAGTAATGCACTTTAAATAGTATGCACCAGTTTATTTTTCCAGTGATGTGCAATGTTGCTGTTTTATCTTTTTAATATTTGATTTCAAATACTTTCTACAATAGCCATAGATCTCTGTATTTTCAAGAGCTGGAATGAATGTGCATTTGAAATCTAGGCTCTTGAGTGATTTGTGAGAACATTAAAGCCAGGTTTGGAATAGGGAAAAGGGACCTGTATTCTCTTGTTCCCCGTACTTTGTTTCATGTCCCGCACTTAATATATTGCTCTTTATTATCTGCTGAAAAGCTGATTTTTTTTTAATATTTTTTTTTCTCCCCACCTATGTTCAAGAAGCCTTTAGGTAGCACTGGCAGTAGAGCATGAATATTTGGGTTTTTATGATTAAAAGTGATAGTGAAACTTTTAAAATACAGCACCAAAAATCATACCAGTTTCTGACCTTTTAAAGCTGTCTTTTCGTAATGTATGATTTTAAGTTTTGTTATGAATCCCTTACCATCTGAAATTTACCATGGAAAGCATGACTGTCTTTATACATCCTCCAACTGGTTTTTCAATAATGAGATTCAAGGCTGAGGATTCTGTGTGCTTTAGTTGTAGAGTCACCACATTTTTATTTTCTAAAATAAAACGGGTGTTCTTCGAGAAACTAGTTTTGCCCCTTCCCTACAATCATGGTAAATTTTGTGATTGAGTAGACATAGAGGCGTTTAGTCTTTATAGCACAGTGATTTGTGACATGGTAAATCTTGGTAAGGATTTAATGCTTAGATATCTCCAGGAAGTGTCCCTTGCTCTAAGTTTTACACAGATAGCATGAATTGCTAGGGATGGAACAATTCAGGGAAAAATGTATATATTTAAATTTTTATATTAAAACGTTGGGATCCATAATACAGCTTTTTATAAAAGCAAGTGGTCATGGTTCAACTTAATGGCTGGTAAATTGTACTGCATCCTATTACAGCTCAATTCAGGCACAGAATAAACACCTTTCAATCCCAACCACCAGGAGGGGTAAGTGTGAATGTTAGATTATCCAGGTTTATTCATAAACTAGCCTCTGTGCCTCTGAGGGAGGCTCCTGTTCTTAGAAATTTTTTGTTTGTTTTATTCTAGGTAAATGTTATGCAAAACAGAGTAGATGTATGAGTTGAAGGTGGGATACGTAGGAGCAGTATGGCCAGTAGATGGATTTCAGCATGTTATACTAAAATACTGCTCTGGGGATTTTTTTTTGTCTTGATTTAATTAAGTATTATAGCTGAAACTCTTATGTCAAGATGTGCTACTTGATCTTGTTAAAAAGAACAAAAGACTCATCATGCTTTTTAGTATACATATCCTCTCAGTCAAACTATTCATTATCAGGTTTGAATTGGAGAGAGATGAAAAAAGGCAGGGAGTGTTTAGTTATTCTAGGGTCTGTGAAATTAAGGTATTGGAACTGAAAGTCTATTTCTTTATTTAAAACAAATAAATTGTCACTCATGACTGTAGCTTTTGACAAAATGCTAATGGGATAATACTGTGTTTGCTGCTGCTCTTCTGCTTAACAGCTTCAAGCAGCTTGCAGCCAAAGCCAGCTGTGTAAGACTGGCATCTGCTTGAACGTTAGTGCTCTTAGTACTGGTTTGAGTCCTACCAAGAGCCTAAACTTGGTAAAGGTAGGAACATTTTTTGTCTAGCTAGATCCTTGCTACTTTCTTCTCTACTGCTCTTTGCATCTGCTGATGGTACTGAATGTTTGGGGTTTTTTTTCCCCTTATAAGTGTTATTGCTTGTTTGGTTGATATGTAATACCATACAGAGGATGTTTTTTGCTGTAATAATTCTGAAGACATTGTTTCTCTGTATTGGGGTCCAGTGTCGAAATGTGTTTCTTGCACTCTAAAGTACATTAACTTTTTCATTCTAATTTAATAAATGTATCATCTAAATGAAAGTGTATTATGTTTCTGTTGGAGGGTACCACAGTTTGAATCTTTGTCTATAGACTGATCTAGAATTCAAGTATCACTGTCTTTTATCAGCCTTGTGCATTAGTTAAGTTACACTGGTTCTTCATGTGATCATCTGGTGGGACTAGTACAGTAAACGCTCAAAAGTATTTTAAGCATTCATCTCTAGGTAGATGCCTGCTTCTAACTCTTTCACCTTCTAGGTAGATGCCTGCTACTTTCTCAAGAAAATCTTACAGTATTGCAGGTCTAGAAGACAGAATGAGGCAGAAGTGAGGTTGCATTGTTTGAAGGACGACGTTGGAGGGTAAGGGAGGAGGGAAGAACAGTGTGGGTATGGAGGAAAAGCTCTGGAGTGTGAAGGGATTGAGAACTCTCTAGATGAGTGGTGTCCAAGAGTTCTGATATTGACCTTGTAATGTGCTGTTTTAGTTACAGTAAGAACTGGCTTTATCTGCTAGTATGTAATTAATGAACTTTGAACATTTAGTTTCGATAGCATTCTTTTTAATTCTATGATTGACTACAAAGCTATCTGAGGTCCTCTTTCTCATTTAACAGCATTGCTATGCTCAGTGATTATTAATCAACTGCTAGTCTGTAGTATTAGTACTATTATCAAGCTAACATTTTGGCTTTTACTGTCCAGTTTATAGTGTGTTTTTTATTGGGAGTTAATTTTTTTCAACAAGTGATAGTTGAGAGGAATCTTTCACAACTGAATTTCCTTTGATTTATTTCCTTGATGTACTTAGTAGCTACTATGAAATGAAATTGTGTTCAAATTGTGCTTTATTCTAGCCCTTGAGTGTCAGTTTCTATCCCAATTTATGTTCTACAGCTTACAGTTTGCTTTCACATTTCTTCAGTGTACTGTGAGAGATAAAAAGTGAGAATGAATTTACTTAAATGTTGGCATTCTTGTGGCTGCTAAAGCATCTGTTTTGCATTTTAATATTTATTAGCTCTTTTCATTTCACTGGTAATCAGTGATTATGTGTGGGAATGTAAAGAGTAATCAGTGTACTTTGAATTATTAAAACATTTAAGTACATCAATGAGAGCAGGGCCTCTAGGAAAAAATGCAAGTATGTATTTTCTTAAGTAAGGAAAATGAAAATCCATATTAATAATCTTCTCTGCGGTTTTAAGTTGTAGCCTACTGAAGACTTCAACTTTCTCTGCTAGATCTTCAGGAAGCTTGTTTAGAAGCACAAGTTGATCTATTTTCATACTGCAGAATATTTTAGAAGGACTTTATTTACTATTTTGGAAAAAATATAATTTTGTAAGAACAAATAGACTATACTTATGGTATACAATAACTTTTGAAGTAAAATCTGCATATGGATGGGAAAAGTAAATTTGTGGAAAGCAAGTAGATAGTTCTCCTAAATGTGGAAATACAATGGAAGTATTCAAAGAATTCACTTTAAACGTGTTTTTAAATCATTAAGTGTGCTAATCTGCAATGTGAAGCAGACTACATTCAAATGGACGACCTTTTTAATTTTAATGCACTTATCATTGGAAGAGAATGAAGGATGATTCAATTTATGTTAAAATTATCTCCAATTATAAAATAACTACAGTGAGTGAAAAATTACACTTAACTGATCTTCCATGTCTGTGCTGTCCATGTTTCTTTATGGATAATATTCAGGATCTTGGCACTGTATCACAAGACAATGTTTTCCTACCTTAAACGACTAATTCCTGTAATAGTAATCAGCTTAATGTGGAGCATTCAGGTTGATTTGAAATGCTTATTGGTATTTTAAAAAGGAATCACTAAGTAATTATAAAAGTGCGCATAGTGGGGGGAATGGCAACAAGTTCCTGCGCGGCGCAGCAGATGAGTCTCCTCCGTGACTACCTCACTTTCCCAGA